ACAATCAAGCCTTTCCGATCAGCGCCTGCCGAAAGGTTCCGACACATGTGAAATTGAAGGAGGATCTCACGGCTACGACTTCGTCAAGCTGGACGTTAAACGAAGCAGAGAATTGTTATCACCCAGGACGGGAAGCCAGCAAGGAGTTCGAGGAAGGAAGGAAGAAATAACAAAGGCCGACAATAAAAGACAATACTTTAACCCAACCCACATATCACCTTACCCGAAAACCTACTACCGTTCATGCTACAGACCCCCCGGACGGAGCACTCAGATGTCCGGTGCGAGATCGAGGACTTCAGGACAGGAAAGCGCTATCAGCCACGCGCCAAGTCAGCCTTATGCCTTGCACCTTACGACGACGTTTCTTCCCCTCACTCCCTTTCCTGGATCTTAACTCAGGTCCCTTGCTATTCAAGTCCGTCCGGAAAAAACGTTCAGCCTTCCAGTCCGGTGTTGCTCCCAGGTCCGTCCGAAAAAACCACTAAGCCTTCTTCCGGGAACGCCTTCTGAGTACCTGAGGAAAGCCCGAGGACGCCATGGCTTACAGGGGGGAAGTTGTACGCAGCAGTCCCAGCCAGCGTGACTGGCGGGATTTTATTTCTTCCTTCATAGCTGAGAGAAATCAACACACAACCAAAAACACCTTCTTCAGCGGAAACTGCTCCCAAGAACAACTCTCCGTATCCGGATCTGGTTCCTGTTTTCAGGCTTTGTCGACCGAAGTCCCCTTCGAACAGACCATACGAGTCTGTTCGAATCGAATTTCCTCAGCCGAAAACTAATGGACCAAATGATTGCTTTGTAGCTCGCATTTTTTGATACATCGGTTAACCTGCCCAGGATGATGACTAGACCATCTGCATGTCTCATCAGTTCCGGGACCATGCACTCAACTTGGATACTTCATGATTGTGATATAACAAATTCGCTCTCTGCAATCACTCTATGACTTTGTTCCCTGTTTCGCGAGTCATGCAGACAGCGAAGCGACTCTGATCGAAACCGCTCATCTCATTTCTTCAATAGACCCCGATCTAATTCTGGCATCTTGTAGCCTAGAGCTGAGTCAATCTTTGAGTATCATTGACAAACCGCACCCGGTGGATTTGACTCTTCTTGGTGAATGGACTAGGGCAAGCTGGTTCTCAAGCATGTTTACCACACCACCTATGATGGTACCGGTGATTTTCACGATTGACTGAAATCATCTTCGCCTGTTTTGGGATCGTGATCGCCGCAATGAGACCACCAAGACCACCAAAAGGCTCAACATCACCATATCCTTTGTTACTCCGCTGGGATGGAGTGAATATGAGGAGAAGGCAGTCACTGCCACCACTTTTGTGAAAGGCTTCTACCAATCCTCATCATTTCTGGCCAAGTGCACGCATTCTTCACTAAGGTTATAGTCTCGTTCGGTGACGGCTGTGATCACATGCTGTGGGAGGCACTAGTGCCGAGACCTTTGCTCTCAGTCGTTAACAGCGGGTGATGATTCGGAAGAGTGTTGCTACCAACACAAATTCCAGAGCTCCCACCATGACGTGTTTAACCATCTTGATACCAATGATCCTGATTGCTGAGATAGGTCGGAACGAGCGGGCTTCCGGCATGAAAACCGGCCATTCGGAGCCAGAAGAATCGTACCTCGAAGGTACCTCCGCGAATCTGTTAAGGGTGCAGGACGTGGGCTTCGGTAAGACAGTGAGTGCAAATGCAACAGACTTGGAGGTGGAGAATCTGTCATGAGTGCTGGGTGGTACCAGGGCTTGACAACAACGCTAGCTTTATTCACGAAGAGAGCATGTCTTTCGGTTGCTTCGGGTGTTGCTTTGGGTTCCATCAACTCATGTGGACTGGGAGATGAGGCTGAAGGACAAACGGCTTCCATTCCGCTGTGCAGTGTCTCAAGTCTTCAGAGCCTGTTCCGGCTAGCCATCCCCGATGCGGAGAGGAAAGTTCCAGGACAAGACCAGCAAGCCCCGAGGATTAGAGTCCATGCGTAATGACGAGGTCGCGCTTGATGTCACGGACTTGCTTGACGCGAAGCGTCATGTTGTGTCAGGCATTCCAGAGGAATCGCTGACTCTGTTGAATAGCAATTCTTTCAGCAGTATGCCAGAATTTACCCCAAGGACGACCAGTATAAAGCTTGCACCGGGCAACAGGCACCTGCAAACCTGAGGAACCATCTCGCGGCCGCATGTTGCCTCGCAATGACGTCCAGATGAACCTGCGTGTTATTGCAGTCTTTGACCAGTGCGAGACTGAGAGCCGTACGTGTTGCTGGTGGAACTGTTATTGTCCATCCTTCTACCAATTTTCAGCTCGTGATCAGTTCGGCAATGGAGTTGATTCAGAGCATGAGATGAGACTCACCCGTCAAGTCTACGTCTGGTCGTTCGGGACTAGATCATATCTTTCATTTTCATCTTCTCTTACCCTAGTATTGGAGGACGCTGGTTACCCACTGATCCCAACAAGTCCCATTGAGCTTTTTCTTCGTTGCAAGATGAATTGCAGTGTAATGCGTGCTTTCATCGACGAGATAGCCAATTATAGGGCTATTCTCAGGCCAGTGCCCAGGCTCTGGCTAGAGGAAGAGAAAGTACAAAGTTGTCCTCCGTCCTTGAGCACCGTTCGGGGAGTCTACAAAGACAAACATAGTCTATGACGCTGCGAGATACACTCCACCAGGGCATTAGTCCTCTTCATTGGGCAGTCGTTTGCTCTTGGGTTACATCAGTTTCAGCCTGTGCTATAACGGTCGTTTTGCAATCACTGCTAAGCACTTAAATGGCGCTCATGCAATCTTCTAACAGCGAAAAGGCCGCCCGTGACCGTGTAGAGAGCACTGCGCATCAATTCGACAACAAGAAACCCTACATCAGTAGCCCGACTATCGGTTTGATCTTGCAGGTGAGAGACGTCGGTGGCACTCTAAAGAGTTAATCATGGTCGTCATCAGCAGCAAAGGCGGCGAATGGGTCAGTCTATACTTCTTACGATCTTTCTCTGGTCTATCAGAGCTACTTAGGCGTCTCGTGGGACAAAGACAAGAGCAAGCCGGCAAGCGGCCAGTATACCATGAGCAAGACGGGACTATCATCGGAGTGCAACGAGATATAGTGGTTGTCATTATCAATTGACTCTTTCTGGCATGTGGCGTACATCTTATTCCTGTGCATTGGGTCCTCTTCGGATTACTCAACGAGAACTCTGATCGTTGGTATCCCGTTCTCGATGCAGCTTGCGGTGTTCTTTGCTTTGAGTTTTTCGCCATCCTCACGGTATGTCTCGTTCGCCTCATGAAGCGTGCAGCAGAAGACGGGTCTGGTGTTTGAATACGATCAGTGGGCGCGCGTATTGGCTCCGCCGTACAGATCCCATTGTTGTTTGGATCCACATTATCCTGTCCCTCTCCTTCATCTTCGTACAACTACATAAATCTGATGTTCACCAGAGTTTCGGCTATGGCTGCCGTTGGTGGTTCTTCTCTATGTTGTATCATAGAAATTCGCGCAGCTGATATTGAGAGGTTCCAAAAAGAAAGCGGATATCTCGAATGGAGTCACAATGCTTGCTGATTTGTATCTTCAGGCACAGAGGCAAACAAACGTTTGTTTATACAGATATGCTGGGGGGTAAAACGCAAGCTGGCTGTCCAGGGAGAGATTTTTGGCTGATATACCTGCGAGTATGGCGCAGGAGCTTGCAGACAATGGGTTCTTATTTTTATTCAGGATTCTGCCAGCTTTTAGTATCGTCTTTACTTGAGTATAGTCCGTCATTCTTCGTGCCTTTCCATGAGCTTATACTTTACCGCTCTCGATGAATCTTGTCAAGGTCTTACACCACACGGAGTTCAATACGGCCTTATACTTCAAAGTTTAGTAAAAGTACACCGTTGTTCCTTCGCCACGTGTATCGTCACCTTACAAGCATGGCTACCACCTCTCTACTTCAATGATAGGCCACCCTTGATGCCTTCATCGCCTCAATCGTACAAGTTCCTTATATCTTCTCCTCTCTTTGGGCATACATAAGCGAGCCCCCTACCGAGTTCCAGATACGGATCGCATGATCATAAGAATCCTACCGAAAGATAAGAAAACTGCTGAAAACGCGGAGTGTCTGTGCATCAATGGAGCAGGCCAGATCATGTTTGGTTTTCACTCTATGGTGGAGAGTGAGCGGATCTGTGCAGAGCATTTGTCTAGGTCTAGGATCGGGAGAAGTACAACGAAGTGGTTTCGATGGACCGGGTGCTGGTCAAAATTTGCTGCATACAACGGCTATTGAATCTAGCCTTGTTATATGCTGTGGAGACGGCGATCAACCTTGTTGTCGCTGCATATTCTCGAGCCCGTCGAAGGGCTTGACCGGTCATTGTCAACAGAGGCAGCAAATCACGAAGGGCCACCAGTGAGATCAAAGTGATCAAAGGCAAGAAAGCCATGACCGCTTTACTTCGGCCATTCTTCGAACATTGATGATGATGGCGGTGGATTTGGAACGTAGATCCGAGGTCTAAATTGCAGAAAACAGGTCATGTTGGTATTTACGTATCATCGAGTTACACCGGTCTGAGTTCCTGGAACCTGGATTTCGACTTACGAAGGGTGGTTAGTTGGAAATTTCATGCCGCATGGGGCACCTGCCGTCCGAAAGGACAAGGATGGTAACAGAGATTTCGTGGTCTGGAATACCTATCAGCTACACGGGGACGTGGGAGAGCGTATAAGATTCACGCGAAAAGTGTCTGCCGTTGCTTGGAAGAACCTACGGGATAGATTACACCCCAACGAGCGCATCAAGGACGCCAAGGGGAAGACTTTTCAATACTGGTGCCTGGGAGACATCTGCCCCAACGACTACGGGATCACAGGGGACTAGGACGTTCTCGGCAACTTACCTCCGAGAAAGCGATAAAAATTCGAGGAAGCAACGGCCAAGACGCCCAAATCTAACCCCCACTCGCAACGACAGCACCGACTTTATTCAAGGAACTTTCGGCCGACCTCGTTGCCCGCCACACAGCCGTTCCCAACACCACTACCAAGCTCTTCTAGACCAGCAACTCCACATCCTGTCCCAGCACCAGCACTCTCATCAAGCTCTGAAACGGATTTACAAGAGCGTCGGCCGCTGACCTGGCTCGACGAACGACTCGCGGAGGCAAAGAGCCAGGAGGGTATGAGCATGGCTGGACGATGATCAGGCTAAGCGATGGGGATACTCTGTAAGCGCCCACTGGGTGGCCCGAGTGACTAACCGTGCTTTAGCTAATAGCTCCTTGCAGGTTCATGCCTTCCGGGACCCTGCATGCAGTGTACACACCAGTCGATTGCTTGATGACTGTTGGGAATCTAGACTCAATGATTCTCCAGAATGAACAGAGCGTTTAGTTCTAGCATCTGAACACAATCAAGCACGGGCTTTCCTCGGAGATTCCGGCAAGCGGCACATGGAGCTTCGAGGGCGAAGCATTTTTTCATACTGGGGTGAGCGGTGGAAGGGAGGCAAGGGCTTGTGCTTATCTAAGCACCACAACTTTAGCTAGACATACCCCACCTCTGCATCGATAGACCTAGCATCTCACATAGCACTCAATGCCACACCATTGACCCCTTGCTTAACCGAAAATGACCCAAGCTCACCAGACGCGGCAGAACTTACGGAACCGACTGGGCTTTGAAGAACTCTCAGAGCCTGATCATGGCGTCCAAGATGCCACCGTGCTGAGTCAGATGTATTCCTTTGCTTGACCCCATTTTCTTCGCATCTGCATACCAGGCCGAGCAGCACGAGTTCTGGAAATGGAAAAAGGCTTATCTCGACCTCGTTCCGGCAGAACCAAAGGCCAAGCAAGCACACGAAGACGAGATGGAGGCATGGGATCGAGACTTTACAAAAGCACCCTACACCGTGGACGAATCGCAGATACAGATGCTGATCCTGGGGACTCGGAAGACAGTGGACTGATGGAACCAGGGTCCAGCGCGATGCCGACATTGAATAGAGGCTCTAGTGGCAAGAGGGTAGGCGATGTGATGCTGGTGTGATGAATGATCCTGATGCTTGTGGCAAGGGTTTTGCTGATGGGTCGTTGCGCATCACGATTGACTATGCCTTGAGAGTGCTGAGGCTTGATGAAGTCACTGTGGAGATGAGAGAGGCGAATGTTGAAATGCGTGGGTTGATGGATAAGAAGTCCCAAGCTACGCCACCGAGATCTGAGTCTCTCGAGTTCGGGAGTGAGTACCCTTACCGATGCAGAAGGGAGGATTGGCTGGGGGGCAAGATAGTGTTCTTTCCTTGAATCAGGATGCAGCTTCAAAACATACACCGCCCATCCTGCTTCCTGGCCACTGGCGCCTTCACAAGTACTGGGAATGATTTGATCTGAAATGTAGATATACCCAGCCTCGTAATCGATGGGAAAACTACCGTTGTGATTGTGTTTCTGATAGAGGACCTTGAATTTTCTCAGAACTTCGCTCATCCTGCTAGGCGATCTGCCCTGCCCCCACCCCGCTGACGATTTCGAAACGTATGGTGTTCTGAGCGGCATGATACTCTTTAAACCTCAATGGCGGCCTGTTCAGGTGTCAAGGCACAGGATACAGCATGTCTGCCCCAGCCTTAACCTTCACCCTGTCATCCAGCGTAGGGTGAGGATATTGTGCGCCCCCTCCCCCCCCGGTGCCCACCTGGAGTACACCTAGCCAGGTTAAGATTTTAACGTCGCGCGGATCTTTGAGTCTTTGCCATCATGGGTCAGTTTTGGATCTAGATGGTCTTACATTATGTGGAAGAGATGCGGCTAATGTATTGGTCCAATCACGTTGAAACTGCTTCCAGGTATTTGAAGAAGTTGAGCTTTTTGTCAGACATCGATTCAGTTATCTTCAAACATTCACTCACGTAAACCATTGCTTTCGACGGCGACACCGAAACGTAATATAAACGAACGAGCTCGGCTTACGTTAGATGTTTACATACTCGTATTCGCTTTGAAAACACCATCCTCAGCCGATCGCGGCGATTCCCAGCGCCTCTTTTTACTCTTCCGCCGCCTCATCGACATACGGATCTTCTGCTACTGGTATACAAATATAATGATGAGTGACTCATCTAGTCATACTTGCCAAGCTGACTCTAACAGGAGACAGGATCCCGCTATCACACTATGATTAAGCGTTCAGGTTAAGTGGTGACCTGCATGAGAAGGAGTTCAACTGCGGGTTCTTGAACGAAGTGACCAACCTATTAAGCAAGGCAGACATGGTCAGTGAAGCTCTCGTCTCAAATGTTCATGATCTGTCTGGGTCACTCACCCCTCGACTGCGGCATACATGCCCAAGCCGCACATGGAGAGCGAGGCGAAGAAGTAGAGCACATGCCACACATTTTGCGCGACTCGCACCGGGCCACCGCTCAACAACCCACGCATCCAGCGCTGCGCTGTCGTCCCGTGTCTGGTCACCTTGCCCGTAATCGGATCGAATCCTTCGCCTTCGCTCTCTCGGTGCGCATTATTCTGGATATCGTACCCCACCGCAAAGAGCGGCGGAAGCGTATATGTCAGAGTCAACAACGCTGAGGCGGAAATCACACTAACGAAGCCGAAGTAATCTGGAATCGCTGCTGCGATGATAAAGGCGATGGTCCACCAGACGGGCACGATGGCGGCATAGAAAATTTTGCCGCGGCGGGTGACGAGAGGCGGTGCACTGAAGATGTCCATGAGGATGTTGTTGTAGAAAACTTTGATACCAATGTTACCATACAATCCGGCAGCGATGATGGCGGTGATGAGGGAGATCATGTTGCCGGCTGTTTGCCAGCCATAGACTGAGACGCCTTGATAGCTGATTCTAAGCGGTAGTGAGATGTTAGTATGAAGACCTGCTTCAGCGCTAGGAAGGAGGGTCTTGGCGAGATTGTGAGGGGCCATGCTGCCAGATGATTGTGTGCTGAATGGTGTCACACTAGGTGTTGACTTACTGGTAAGAATACTGCCCCTGGAAATGATAGACGTAGCATCCATAGATGAGGTACACGCTATAAATGAAGAATTGCGCTCCCCACATGGCTTTCAGGAAGTCCCTTGGCCGTTTCATCTCCGCTAGGAACTCGACGAAGAGCTGCGCTCCTGCGTAGGCAAGCACGCCGGATAGCAAGCCGTTAATGGACCCCACGAGATTCGCGGCAGGGAGCCCCCCATAGTGGATGACGGGCGGGTAGTTGCCTTGCGCGTCTGGGGTTATGGTGGTTGGGTCGACGGTTGCGCCTGCTGAGCCGAGGACGCTAATTGCGTAGTTTGGAGGACTGTGAGCGATCACGCCCATGGTTATGAAGATGACTAAAACGGTCAACCAGACGGAAAAGTTGGCCACCAGGCCGTAATTTTTGAGAGTGCGGATCTGGGTCATGAAGAAGCCGGCGATGACGAACAACAGGGGACAGATGATGTAGCAGAGGCGGAATTGGGAGACTTGGCTTATGTTCTGGCCGTATTGGATTGTCACTTGGCCGAGGAGGAGGAGTAGGCCCAAGGTTTGTAGGATGTTGGTCGCGTAGCGGGCCGTCGTGCCCCAGGTCCGAAAGGCAAGATCGCCGTAGTTGCGGCAGGGGAACTCGTAGCTGTCGAGGCCAAGGAAGACGTGCCAGAGCAGATAGCCGGAGTAGCCAGCCATGAAGCCGAAGACTGTATATAGGGCTATTCCAGGACCCCAGCCAAGTGTGCCCATGGCAAAACCAACGCCGTAAGGGCCGAGAATATCGGTCGTGATAAGGTAAAAGGCGGCGCCCGAAGATGCTGTGCGCATTGCACGACTGGCGTTTGTCCATTCATCGCTGGTAATCTGTAGGCGGTCACTCTCGTGTGCGAAGTTGACTTCCGGCACATTCCCATCAGCGGCAGCTTCAATTGGGCGTGCGTCCTTGTTCGTTGAGCGATTGATGATTTCTCGCCATCGCAACTTTGGAGATTCGAGATGCTTCTCTTCTTCTCTGGTGCGCCGCGCGTAGTACTGGTACTCCTCGAATGTGACAGCGGGGTCGTGGAGTAGGCGCGCCTGAGGGCTGATATAAGTGCTTTGCGCTACTTGTTGCTCATCCGGGGAGCCTGCAAATTCCTTCTTCTTCTCGTCCATGGTGCTCTGAGGCTTAATCTATATATGTTTTGTATATGAATATACAAATCTGTACATGAATTTATATGTATGTGTATAACTATGGATTGTGCATAAGGGGAGAAGCTTATCGCTCGTGGAAGAGAGTAAAGTAAGCAGTAAGTGGAGCTTACCTACTACTCCTCAATCGTTATCATTGCTAACTGGTTTAGGTTAATGTAGAAGCAGATGGACGCCGATCTTGGCGGAAATGCGCCGGCCGGCGAGAGTTGTGTTTGTGATTGTAAGATCTCATTCATCAATATAAATCGCTGTAGGTTTGGCGCTTTTTGCCTGCTCTTTGCTTGTAGGCTTTGTTGTCCGGACCATGGGCTGCAGGTAGGGAGAAGAATAGACTGGGGACGCGGAGGTGAAGGGATTCTCCAGAAGAAGAGCTGAAGATCCAGAGAACACAGCCAACGGACCCCCTTCATGCCCCACAGTCCCGGCCATCTGTGTATGTAGTCACCTGAAGTAGGCGGTGCGCTTCTACGTGTTGGACTTTGGGCGTGGGGGTTTGCTGTGGGCCAGGAGCGTTCAGAACTACTGGTCGGCACCCCCATGCTCACCCAGCTCTCTCGCTAAAGCGGCGACGCCCGCGGGAGCTTCTAAGCCTAATCCTGCTTTATTGTCTGCCCAAAGTCTCCCAATGTATACCATCTAACTTCACACAAAGCCAAGGTATCATCAGCCAAATGTTGACCTTATCAGATGGTGTCTTGCCCTTTCCGAAGCATCTTATCAGTCAGACAGATTGCGCGTCCTTCCTCGTCCAGCTTTACCTCCACAGTCAGTGAAAGCCTACTCCGAGCGCAGAACAACGACTCCCTGGTGACTGTGACCGCGCCTCCGATCTCAACGCTGCATGCATGTTCTAAGGCCAGCGTTGCACGGGACTTGAGACAGCAGACGAGCTTCAGCGCACCTACGGCGCAAGAAGCGGAGAGCGCAGGATATCGAATGATGTAGAGGACAAGAGGGTCAAAAATATCGAATGGATCACAGTGGGTAGGGCTGTGGAGGATCGTCGGGGACACGAATGCGAACGCCGCGAAAGAGGAAAGGGTACAGCGATAGGGCATATGAGGGAGGAGGCCAGGCCGCCAACCCCCAAAGAGGCCCTTTCGGCAATGACTGCGGCCAGAGATCCTGGGCGGGAGTGATTATGAAGGTAGGGACAGCAAAATTGGGATATCAACATGCCGCCGCAGAATGGGGCCTTAAAGAGATGTTGCGTAAGCATTCATGGACTTGACAACCGGTGCCAGACCGCCTACTACAACAACGGCTCAAGCAGGCATCTCAATCACCCCTTCTCCACCACCGCCCCACCGGCCTCATCCACAGCTTGCAGCATCCCAACCGAAGGAGTCAGACTCCTATCTCTCCCCCAAGCAGCAACAGTTGCGGCCTACGTTCCGTCCAACTGAAAGAGATCAAAGTCCCGCTGTCTACCCAGCGGATAGTCGGTGGCTCATCTCACGTCCACGGTATCATACTCCCGCGTACACTCCGCAGCTTTCAGCAAGACATCTGCTTCCCCAATATCCGTGCCCTGGCTCAACGGCAGAGGGCCAGTGTTCGAGTGCGGCAGATGTCCTGTGGAGTTTACTTTGGTCCACTATTGAAGATAAAGGAGTTGGTTTGCTTCGAGGCAAGATTGTTGGCTATAGAACAGGTCAGGGAAGCAAGGAGAGCCCTTCACTTCTGTCTCTTTTTTGGGCTCAAATTGTCATAGTGGGCAAAGATACTGTCCAGGATATACGTATCTTGCCCCAAGCTTCCATGGTGATAGAGATACTCCGATACCGGCCAATATGGTCGCTGAAGATCAGCTGCACATCATTGAGCTCATCAGTTTTGGTTGTTGGACCAATGCCGGATGTAACGACGGCCTCTACGATGACAACGCGCGGGTATCGTGCTATCGTAGACAGTGTCGTTGAAGCGGGCAAAGAGATTCATGACAACGCGGCGAGGTTGCTATAGTTAGACCAGTAGGTGAGGCTGCTTGGAAATTGTTGCCGCAGAGAAATCTGGGGAAGGGCACTGCGAAGGTAGTTTTAATTGGTAGATTCGGGGCGACGGGATTGACTGAAGCTTCCGACAGAGTGCTCGCTGTTGCAGAGATGGCGGCGAGGAGAAGGAGAAGGAGAAGGACATGGCTGAACAAAAGCCTTTTTGGCCGTGATCCATGAAAGGGGATACGAACATCTTGGGCGGTCCCACGAGAATGGGATCCTGTGGGTGAGAATACTCTGGGGCCATGCGGCTAGGGGATGAACGCCGTACATGTCAATGTATGCGAGATCTGGTTCAGATGGCGCATCAACACGTGCAATTTGGCTTGCATATGAAAGACCTGGGCAGCGCTAGTGGAGCCCTAACCCTACTGTCGGAAACCCCTACAAGGGGCCCTATTGCGGGGCCCTAGAACTTGTTTCTAGGAGCGCGAAGCAGGCCTAATCGCATTTTCCAGGTAGCAGGTAGAGTATATCGTCTAGTCTACTAGTTCTGAAAGTAGTCACCTCCAATGCCTCCATATACAAATCCTTCACTTTCCCCTCCTCTAACACCTTCAAGCCTGCAGCCGTAGATCCTAACCCAATCTATCAGTATCACAAATCATGCCTCAACGCACTCGACTCACCTCCAGGCGTCGCGACTTTACTCCTCACCTCACCCGGCGCTTCTCCACTCGCAATCAGCTTCGACAGCCCCACCATACACGACGCCGCCATCTGGAACGCTTCCCCCCTCTCAACCCCTTCCCGGACCGCACCCTCCACCAACCCCTCCACCGCCACGGACAAAAACGCAAGACCCCCCGCCGTCATCGTCGCACCCACCGCCTGCAAATGCTCCGGCCACATCTTCACCTGCCCAACCCGCATGAACAGCGAGTACACGGCGTTCAGCGCCGCGGGCGGGTGTCCGCGACCGGGCTCCTCGCCGATCAGCGACACGGATCCCCGCACCGCGGCTGACGTCCCCGCCGTCACGCGCACGACGTGGCAGCGCCGCCCCTTCCCCTCCCCCTCCTTCTCCTCCTCCCCCGTGCCGTGGTATATCGCACCGTACAGCTTCGCGGCGGGCACGCCGCCGACGACGCTCACGAGCGTCTTCCCGCGCAGCGCGGCGGCCATGCCGGGTGCGGCGAGCACTGGGCGGTAGGCGTGCGGTTCGATGCCGAGGATGACGACGTCGCCGCGCTGGGCGCCGAGGACGTTTTCGTCGGCGAGGACGGTGACGAGGGGGTCGTGGGAGAATTTGGCGGTCAGCAGCGCGGCGCTGTTCGGGCGGTGGACGCAGGCGGTGAGGGATGTGGGCGTGATGATGGCGGGCTTGGACGGTGGGGATTGGGTCTCGGTGGTCCCGGGGATGGGGCAGGGGGGTCGGAAGTCGGTGGGCTTGCTGTTGGTGAGGGAGTCGAGGATGCCTTGGAGGATCGCGGAGCTGAGTTTGCCTGGGTGGAGGGTGAGCGTTGTTGGGGGGGTGAGTTTGGTGGGGAGGTTGGGGTCCGCGTACCGCAGCCTAGGAAGGTGATCCTCGTGGGTATCGTTTCGACTGACATCTTCGTCTTGCAATGATCGAATGATAAGGTGCGCGGGTTAGATAATAGGTAGATGAGACTCTGAAGTCGAGATGAGCAAGTGATCTGATGGGCTTATACAGGGGGGCACTTTGTGTATAGTGATCCTGTACGAACGTTTCCCGCTTCGATGTCAAGTATTAGCCAAGTAAAAAGATAGAGGTTGGGCGGTTTGGTAAGAAGAGGTTGCTGGTTGAAGGGATTGTATCCGAAATATGAAGACTGATAACGGCGTCACTAGGTATGTACTAGGCTTCTTAGCTGCGGATAGATAGCTCGTAGATGTACGGTCTAAATCATGTGATACGATCGTCAATGCCGCAGCATTGGAAGAAGGCATTAACCAGCGTTATAACAAAACGGCGAATATCAATATGAAACACCTTTCCTACTTTGCAACGCTGCATTATGGAATGAAATCACGATTGACGTTTATTTCTTTTTACTACTAATGAAGCATGTTCAATTGGCTTGGTGATGCACCTTTCTCTAATCCTTCTAATTACCTCTGATATGACGCCCAAACTGATGAGACCCATTTCAGGATTCTACCACGCCTCTTGTCAGCCTCGATTTCAATCCACGGAACGAAGCATCCACGTACCTGGCTCGCGTAAAACCCAGTAATGGTAGTTCCGGGAGCAATGACCATTGGTCTCAACGGAAGCTCATCTGGCGCATCCCCCGCAGGTTGAAAGTGGAAAGAGTTTCCGTAATTTGTGGAAATCTATAATACTCAATGAAGGTGATGAAGATGTCAGTGGGTAAGACCTAGGCAGCGTCAAAAGCTGGCAACTAAAGAACCTAACTTGCCTTGAAAGACCTCAATTTCCTATGTCCGTAGAAGCTTTGTGCGGGTTCGCCATACAAGCTTTTAAGATCGACAAGATTGACCTCAACCGTCTCGATAATTTCCCCTCCGGGGCCGTCAATGGGAAAGTGCATGACTTGTGCATATTCCGTGAACTTGTAACGGCCTAGCTTGCGACGTTCGACCGGGACGTGCTCTGTGTTATAATGGAATTCGATGCCACACAAAGACCCGAAGAAGGTGACGGAGATTTCGGTCAGAGATCGAAGAAAGGTACCACTAGGGCCTCCAAACAAAGTCCAGCACAACGGTTGATATCTACCAGAAGAAGGATCTTCACCCGCAAAGGAATCCTCATTCAGATACAAGGCGGGGTTGGGAATTTCGGGATATCATAACGCAGTGTTTCGTAACGACCTGCTTTGTCCCATCGACGTCTCAATACGAGACGGTAGATTCTCGGCAACCCCTAGACTGACCATCTTGTATCCCTACCATATCGCGTGAGCCATGGCGGATGCCAAAAGAAAGGAAGAGATAGCGCATATTTGCTTACATCGAATCCTGCTTCTAAAGCAGCGACAGGCCCACAAACTGCGAGGCGCTGTGTTTTTGGCGATTCATCCGGACAGCCAAACCATTGTGATACATGTCCGTTGCTGGTAATTATTTGTAACGCTTGGATGCCTCTTGACCCTACCGCCAAGACAAATCCTTTCAAGACTGTAACATCCTGGAAGAGCTCTTTCCCCTCTGCCCTATACCCCAAACATATATCCGCCCCTTTGCTGGGAATAAGACGTATTCCCGCAATGTATCCTGCATCTCCAATCCGGGTAATGGAGACGGCAATCCGGGAAAGAAGGTCTGGGATGGAAGTATTTCGTTTGTTGAATAGACGGCAGCCTTCGTCAAATCTGCGGCACCCAGCAGGTTCCTCCAGCCTCACGTCTCCAGCTACCTCCGTCCATCTCAAGCCGGCTCGGCTCAGGTCCTGATGAGACGTTTCGGAAGAATTGTGCCAACGCGTGTTTAGTACATCCGAAACGCTTACTGAATCAAGGCCCAAATTCTCTTTCTGTTTTGCAATCCAGGAGGGCCAAGGGCATCATTCGTGCGGCGATACAGCGATCTCCAGTCTCGACGCTCCTGGCTGTTTTGCGTTTCAAAAAAGAAAGCACGGTCGGCGTTGGCTTTAAACCTGGAGGCCCAGAAGTGTTGACTGGAGAATATGTGGACAAATGCCCTCGAGGCTCGACGGAGACTCAGAACATCTGCACTTGACAAGTAAACGGCCATTTCTTCACGAATTTCCCATGGAAGTCCAACAAAGCAGTCCTCTCGTTCTGTGATGGACCCTGACGAGCTGAGCTCCTTCCCACGTGGTGGACTCTGCGAGCGCTCCTTCAGCAGCCGTTGAATCTCTGGCACATCATAAGGGTTCTCCCGAGCACGCTGACACGTTATCGAGACTTCGTCTCGCTCGATAAGCCGGTCTTCCCACGGATAAGAGTTTTCATAGTCGAGGAAGACTAGCCCACCGTAATCGTGGCCCCAACTTACACCGCTCGCTTGAAGTGGAAATGGCAGCGACTTGCAAACTTCCAGGAGACGTGCCAAAGGGATGGCTTCAGGGTTGTAAACGTGCTGTAGAAGAGACCAGCAAGCTTCATGAAAGACGAAGCCATGCCGACCGTGGGTCGCATGTTGCTTCATCACAGCAAGCTCGTCCTGCCCTGAGAAGGAAGTCCCGGCGTCGTTCCATCGCACACCGCTGTCAGACGGGACGATCCATACCCCGCCGCGGGGGTTATTATACAGGCCAACTCCAGATACCCAGGTCCCGGTAGGGCTAGAATAAACTGTTGGTGTTAGCGTAGAGCCTTCATGCCCCAAGGGATGAGCATCTGTGATGACGGAACTTTAGAAGAGACACTCACGGGCGCGGAACTGTTGCAGCCAAGACTCGGAGCTCGTTTCTTCAAAATCCCAAATGTAATATCCACAAAGAACACAGGAGTAGATAACGGGACTCATTTTATTGGACGTTGGCAATCATAGTCAAAGATATTTCTTGGTGTGAAAGCGTAGAAGAGAGAATTTGAGTTGGGGAGGTTGCCTCAGTCGCTCAGAGTTCGCTAAGGTTCTTCGGGTTAGCGGCCGTCACTAGAGAGCACTCACCTCATATATATACCCGGTAATGTGGTAATGCACGGTCTTAAATCCGACAAATCCGAGAGTGAGTTTTAGGGAATATCCTCTCGAAAACTCATCTTAGACTTATTTACGTCTCGTTACGCGACGTAGAATTTATAGAACTTAAATAAATTTTATTATATTAATATATAACGTTATTAATATAACTACGATTTCTATTATAAATTAATTCTTTATACTCGATAAGTTTAAGTTTATAAATTAAATTTTTTAATCTAATTTCGAGATTAAATTCGACTCTCGAACTTCGAAAAGTAAAAATATTTTATTTTAAGATTTACTTAGAATTATAAGATTAATTTTTAATAATTTTTAATTTTAAAAAGCGTAATCTTCGATCTATAATTTAAAAGAATAATTATAAGATTTTAATAAAAAATAGTAAAGTTATTAAAGGGTTAAAAGTAGAATAAGAGATTTTAATAATTACGAACGCTAATTTATTTACTCGCGATAATTTAGTCGATCTAGCTAAAAGACGTAATAATCTTAAATTAATAATTAACTATATATATAAATTTAAGATTTTTAAGCTTAATTCTATCTTATTCTTTTATACGAGTAAAGATTTATAAATTAAATTTATAATTATTTCTTTTAATTAGAGCTATCGAGCGAACTTTAATAAGCGATATTTAAATTCTTTATCTTTAAATATTAATAAGACTAAATTTAGTAAATCTTTTTTTATTTAAAAGCCTATATTATATTCTATAATTTAAAAAAAATCTTAAAATTTAATAGAAAATAAAAAGTTATTTTAAAATTAAAAATATATATCTATTTTTAATTAGAGCTATCGAGCGACTTTAATAAGCGATATTTAAGATTCTTATCTTTAATAATTATAAGATTAAATCTTAGAATTTTATATTATTAAAAACGTAAGCTATAGACTAGAAACTCTAAAAATATAATCTAAAAATTTTAATAGAAAATTATAAAGTTATTAAAAGATTAAAAAGTAGAATAAGAGATTTTTAATAATTACGAACACTAATTTATTTACCGCGATAATTTAGTCGATCTAACTAAAAGACGTAGATACTATTAAATTTATAATTAATTATATATATAAATTTAAGATTTTCTAATTTAATTCTATCTTATTTTATTATATATATTAACGAGTAAAGGTTTATAAATTAAATTTATAATTATTTCTTTTAATTAGAACTATCGAGCGAACTTTAATAAGCGATATTAAATTCTTTATCTTTAAATATTTATAAGATTAAATTTAGTAATCTTTTTTTTATTTAAAAGCCTATATTATATTCTATAATTTAAAGAAAAAGTATTAAAAAGTTAATAGAAAATAAAAAAGTTATTTTAAAATTAAATAATATATATCTATTTTTTAATTAGAGCTGTCGAGCGAACTTTAATAAGCGATATTTAAGATTCTTATCCTTTAATAATTATAAGATTAAATTTTATAATTTTTATATTATTAAAAAGCGTAATTTATAAATTATAATTAAAAAAAAAATCTAAAAATTTTAATAAAAAATAATAAAGTTATTAAAAGATTAAAAGTAGAATAAGAGATTTTTAATAGTTACGAACGCTAATTTATTTATCCGCGATAATTTAATTAATCTAATTAAAGAGCGTAGATCTAATAAAATTATAATTAGTTATATATATAAATTTAAGATTTTATAGCTTAGCTCTATCTTATTCTTTTATATATATTAATATACTAATTAATTCTTTATACTCGATATACCTTTCTAATTAGGCCTCAGCGCGCCTCTCTCCGCACAAATCTACCCTACTGCCTACAGGCACATAGATTAATCAACATCTTTTACACCACACCACATATATGAGTCAAACTATAATGATTCCTTAACAGTCTAGATCAATAGTAGGACAGCAAGTAATGAGCCTTAGGCCATCACCGACTGAACGAGACCAGAATCCCGCGTGAAATGATTGTCCTCCTGTCCCCCTTCAATGTTTTCCCGCTTTCTCGCAGTCCATCTGAGGGGAAGTGCGCGCCCAGACCAAAGAGTTCAGGAGGTCTTCGCAACGAGTTCGTTCAGAAGGGCTTCGATCTCGGCTTCGTCGTCCTTGAATTCGTAGTATCTTCCGTTGGTGCCAGGATAGTCTCTCAATTTTTCGTCCTCGGGTTCCATGAAGTAGAATCGCGAATAATGCCCAACGGTGGCAATGGCGTAGAGAGTTTTTTCGTTCTTTTGTTCCTTGCGCACAAGCGCCAGATAAAATGTTGCCTGCTCGACAGCTTCGGCCCACTTGGAACTCTGAGACTCAAATTCAACACGCTTGTCCTCAATGAGAATGACTTTCTTGAGCATCCCGTTCCTGACGTATCTGATACTGATATCGGCTCGTTTTTTGATACCAGTCAAGGGTCTCGTTTCCTGCTCCAAGCCATAATTCCTTGGGACTGTGAAGAAGAGCCCCAAAATGTTGATCCACAGGGAATCAACATCTGCTTCTATAGAACCCTTCTTGAGCTTGTCATAGTAGGACTTGATGACAGGGTATTGCATGTACTATATATGTGTGATTTGGAAAGTCCGCTTGCAAGATAATGGCAGGGTAGAGAGCGGGCTTACCGGCATTCTAGTAAGCGCTGAAGGAAGACTGACAATAAGAGGATATTCTAGGCTGGGTGTATTTTGATACCTTGGTTTGACAATGGAGTTGTTGCCGAAGTAGCAGAAGGAATTTGCCTTTCTCTTAATCTTGGATTGTGTTCTGAGAGAGCTCGGAACTGGGCGGACCTTGAGGGGTATCTATAATCTTCAAGACGGTCTTGGGTCGCATTATCGTAGCGCCGCAGTCCTTCGGGCCAGTGTTGAAGGTGGTGCAAATTAAATAATTGGGATTATAATTATATCTAAAAGTATATGTGGGTTAGTGTTAAAGGTGGTGCGTTAATACTCGTAGTATTTAGAAGTAAGTAACCTCGCTTAATAGCGCCGGGAGAGTTAACTAATCAAACTACGATTTTCGTAGTAAGCTAAGTAGTTTAATTGATTAACTCTCCCGGCGCTATTAAGCGAGGTAGCTTACTTCTAAATAATACGAGTACTATTATTAATCGAATACTAGCGTAGTTTTATAGAAGAATTACTAATTTATACTCTAAAAGTATAAATTCTTATCGAATTATATCTCTAATTATTAAATTATACTTTTATATTAAATTTCATCTAAATATAAGATATAATTCGATAATTTACTATTACTTAAAGTATAATTTACAAGAATCTTAAATAATAGCTTTTTAATATAAGAGAATTTAATAAAGATAATAATAGAGGTAGGCTTACTGAGCGTCTAATAGTAGTCGTTAACTTAATTATTAATAACGATAGTATTTACGCTACGTAACGGGGCGGGATCCGAGACGAGGTTTAACTCTCGAAGTTTACCCCGCCCCGTTATATAGCGTAGTAGAAATTACTTCTTCGAGGGCCCTACGGGGCTCTATAAGGCCTACGAGACCCGAATAGAGGTGTCTATAGCGTGAAGTGCGGACACCCCCGAGCTCGAAATTTCGCCCACTCGGCTTTCGTCTGATATTTTTAGGCTAATAGAATTCTCATCAAATGCGGTCGAAGAAACTCCCTTATTTCTATAATCGAATAAGCGGATTATCTCCTTCGTAGTTTAAGGTTACTTTAATAACTTATCAAATTATACCCCAAGCAATAATAAATTACCGAATCATACCGTATATTTGAGTGTAATTTATAATTAGGGGTATGATTCGGTAATTAGGGGTATAATTTGCCCGTGGTTTTGCCGAAGGCATCTCCTACCTTTACCACTCCACAGAATAACCAATCAATTATTTTTCAGCAGCCAGCTTGGATCTCAGCGCGTCTGCCTCGTCGTACGCTTGCTGAAGGCCGTTCTTGAGGGTATAGGCACGGGAATTGCCTTGGATTGGCTCATGAGTGGAACAAGTCGTAGCCGCCGAGGCAGACTTAATAGTATCTGAAAGGCTTTTACGTCATCTCAGCCAAGAGCGACCAGCTGAACACTCATATGCAACAGTAAGGTAGCATCGTTGCGTCAGGGTCCACGCAAGGCAGAATCCGCTGTGGAAAGTTTGGCCCTGAAGAATCTACAAAAGGCACGGTCCTTTGTGGCGGTAGAATGTTGATTGTATTCTCTACATGTATGTAAGAACCTACCTTAGCTACTGCAGCAGAGAGGTATCGGAGATGCTAGCAAAAATACACACTCATTATCTCATACACACAGAGGTGCCCTCTTGCTTATTCCCCGCCTTGGAAGCCTCCACCATCGCCATGCAATCTCTACACATGCGTTCCACGTCGAATCGAGAAGACTCTCATGTTCTGCAGGACATATGAGTACTGGTTGGAAGGCATCCGCCGTAAGGTAGTCAAGATCGAATTCGGTTATGTTCACTGATACTCTTAGGATAACATAGCAAATCCGCATTTCAGCACGATCAAACGTAACTTACACACGTCACCTGGACCTCGAAGGATGTGAAGCACATTAATATCTGGGGGCCATGAAAATCTACACGCACTTGAAAGCAGCTTGGGACGATCTCATAGTGGCTTTCACGTCGCTCGACTGGGCGCCTGCGAAGATCGCACTTCGTCCAGTCTCATCGAAAACCCCACGTTCAACGCACAGCGCTTGTTGAAGGCCCACGACTATTGGTGTCTGCGGCGGGAAGCATCGAGTGTTGGGCCTAGGAAATACTTCGAGTTACTCCAATGTACGGCCTTAATCGAGGATCTCGACAATATGGACTTGGAGGCTCTGTTCGAGAACACCTTGGATGAGTCCAACGATTGCAACAAGCCCTCGTTCTACTTCGTCGCTACGGCGGAGGAGCCACACCTACGGCAATGCCTAGGTTTGTCAACTTTTCCTCTGTATCCCGGAGCTTGACTCTTCAGCACGGCCCGGGTGGTATTCGGTGCGCACTCGCCTTGTGCGCATGTATCCACAGACAAGAACCTCTTCGACGTCCGGATGTTGTGCGCGGAATATAGCAGTTCTCGGTATGGAATGACGTAGTAAGGTTGATGTGGCATAACGTTTGCCTGACGTATAAGGGAAGGGTGGAGCAGGACGGACATCGTTCAGCGTCATGAGTCGCACGAACATGGTGACGGGAACGAAAACGTTCAATTTGTAGGTCGAGTAGAATGATCATGCTGCGAATTTGAAGAGCGAGATATGAGTAAATGTACCTGCGCTTGAGGATGTATCGAATTTAGACGATTTGATATTTTGAAGTGGTTGAATAGGTTGAAAGTTTGACAGACCTGATCCTGCACGAACATGGGCGATAGGTTTTCTGCTCTTGTGTTATGCATCTGTCATACATGTAGATGACGATTAAACGGTTTGCTGGACCATTCGTGGCAATGGATAAAGGCGTTTGCTGTTTGAAGGTTGTGGGTGGCCTGAACCGTAACGGGCCATGCGCTTAGACTCATTAGCTGCGGACACGTTTTGTACACCAATCTGCCTAAGGTAGGTAGTTCTTAAATGTGTGTCCTGTTTCATCTCACGCAGCAGTAAAACTGTTTGACAACGCAGCATTGCGAAGCAGGACACGAGCTTCGAGTGAACATTCGCTATCTTATAACACTCGATTATGACTTTTACCATACATCATGGTATTCCTCTGATCTCTTTTCCCCCCAATAGCATCACTTGAGTTGCATGGATGATAATCTGGACGTCGTCCGCCGCTGAAAATGCTAACCTATCCATGACCTCCGCCAACGCCGACCCGGTCTCCCATATCATCAGACCCGCCCATTGCGCTGACCTATCACTGCATGCAAGAAAAAAGCCGGCTGTGATAGCCACGCCCTTACATCTCAAGTGGCGTCGTCGCACTCGCCCACCGCGACGCTGGCCTTCTGGAACTGTATGTGTCTGCTATGATGTGGTGTCGAGAAGGCATTAGTCGAAGATGTGCGCCAGGTCTGGCGTTCGACCGGTAAGTTGGCAACGGTGGTGGTGATGGTGAGATCTCTCTCGTGTACTGGGATGCGGATCGCTGGCTTGCTCTTTCGTGGTAGTCTGCTCTATCATAGTCCATCACATGATGATCTGCTCTTTGGTGGTGCTCTAGTCTTTGGTGGTGCTCTAGTCTTTGGTGACGCTCTGACCGTGGGTGATGCTCTGACCGTGGGTGATGCTCTGACCGTGGGTGATGCTCTGACCGTGGGTGATGCTCTGACCGTGGGTGATGCTCTACCCTTGGGTGATGCTCCGCTTCTTGCTGGTGATGATCTGGTTTGTGATGATGTTCCGATTCGTCATAATGATGTGTCTGGGGCCTCGGTTCGTACGAGTCGTGTAGTAAGAGCGGTTTCCTGGGGATTCTCGAGAGTTCTTTGTTGTTGGAGTTGGAGACACTAGGTCGGCTACAGCTGAAATATTCGAGGACAGGGCGGAGAGAATCGGTAGGGTCGACGACTTCTTTGCGCTTGGGATGTTTCGGGCGTACCCATGCCATTTCAACGAGCTTTCAGGAAGAGCAGAGATAGCTTGTTGATGTATTGAACTCGGTGTCGAAAGATATGGGTACTCGGAAGATAGGGAGATAGTCGCAAGTTCACAGGATTGTCCATGATGGCTGATGTGGTGGTTTGTTATCCAGCCTCTACTTTTTCTCGTCGAGATGGCTGGGGAGGCTGGTAGCGGAAAGGCGTTCCGCTTTTGCTTGGCACTGGCTTGGCGTTGGCCAGATACTTGACAACAACAAACCAACTTTTCAGAGCCTGAAGGCGGCTGTCGGAGTTTGCAGCTTAGCATAATTATTATCACTGGCAGCGAGGTCGATATCCTTAAAGCAAATGCGATGGAATCCCACACATGTCTCTTGTCGCTCTGCGCCTCGGAGACCACAGCGTTGGGTTCCAAGTCTGGACGACGTTCACTGACAGTCTTGCATCTTCTAGACAACAACGGAGAAAGGCAAGCTATACTTCCCGGTCATGATCAAGCTTTTGACACCAACGAATAAACGATTGCCGGAAGCCTTGCGGATTGCTTCGCGGTATCCTCAGTCTTTCCCTGGAGAATTAGTTGAGGTGGGAACAAGAGCTCAAAAGTCTCTATCATGACTAGCAGTCAATGCATTGCAGTCATGAGTCGACGTCTCTTCACAGCTTTGCTAATCATTAAGCCGGATGGCTTGCAGAATGCTTGAGGGTAAAACCTACCCTGAGACTACTTCTTCAAGTATACAGCTCTTGGCATTCACTCTGTTTGATCTTGAACTTGTCTTTCAGATCTCCGTCTCTTTCAGTGAAAGGCAAACCGAAGAGTTGCTTTCGAACGTCCGTCTAGATTTCAGCTACCTTCCTATTCCGGACCTGCAGTGACCCTGCATACCTACCCCTCATACTTCTTGGCGTGGTGGTACTTCTACAATGTTGCAGGCTTTTCCTGCTTTCTTTTCAATGCTTTTCAGCCGCGAATCTAGTAATTGTGACAAGATGTATCTATTGAACTTCTATTTGGGCTTGGCGTTGGCCTTTGGCCCATTAACATTATGCTGGACTCCTTCCGCGGCTGCGCACAAACGCGGCGGTGAGCAACAAGAAGTGAAAGACAAGCTAGGAGCAGTCGCTTCGGAGAGCACGGTCTGCAGCAACGTTGGTATCGATCTTATCAAGGATGGTGGAAATGCTGCAGATGCTGTATGTCCAGAATAATTGCGCTAGAAGGTACTTTGGACTTGCTAACCGGGCCGCCTTAAATTTCGCAGTTGGTGGGCACGGTGTTCTGCATAGGGGTAATCGGGATGTACCACAGCGGACTTGGAGGTGGCGGCTTCATGATCGTACGCGGCAGCAATGGCTCCTACGAGTTCATCGATTTCCGTGAGAAAGCTCCCGCTGCAGCATTCACCAACATGTACAACAACGACACAGACTTGTCTCTTTATGGAGGCCTTGCGAGCGGTGTACCTGGCGAGCTTCGCGGCCTCGAATACTTGCACAAACACTATGGCAAACTACCCTGGGCGCACGTCATGGGACCAGCCATCAATGTCGCGCGTAATGGCTTCACAGTCACCCAAGATCTGGTCGATTATGAGGAAGAAGCTATTGGAAGTGGACCTAATTTCTTGGCTGAGAACCCAAATTTTGCTATTGACTTTGCACCAAATGGAACACTACTCGGTCTGAATGAGACCATCACAAGGCAGCGCTATGCAGACACCCTTGAGACCATCTCGAAAAGAGGCGCTGACGCTTTCTACACCGGGCCTATTGCGAATGCTACCATTCAGGCGTTGAAAGCCGCTAATGGGATGATGACGCTTGAGGATCTAAAAAACTACACTGTGGCCATACGGAAGCCCGCCCAAATTACATACCGAGATTACAAGCTTACGGCGTGCTCTGCGCCATCATCAGGCACAGTCGCCCTGTCGGTCATGAAGACCATTGAGGGCTATAGTGAGATTGGTGAGGCTGCGACCCTGAACCTTAGTACTCATCGTCTCGATGAGGCAATCAGGTTTGCCTATGGGGAGGTGAGTAGCTGTGCTTTCTCCTTAACACCTCAGTAGGATCTCAAATATTGACACCAATTCGAATAGCGAGCGTACCTGGGAGATCCATTATTCGTTCCAGGCGTTGACGAATATCAGCAAGAAATGCTCAACGAGACCACTGCTGAGACGGTGAGGAGTAGAATCTCGGACTTTCACACCCTAAACGTCTCTGCGTATGATCCTACTGGGTTGGAATCCCCCACAACGTAGGTATTATTCCTCCTGTGCTTCGCCTCTGGTGATCTGATCTATGACGTCCAGGCATGGAACCTCCCACATCGTCACAGCCGATGCCTCTGGTATGGCCGTCTCGCTGACCACAACCGTAAACCTACTTTTCGGCAGCCAGCTTGTAGTGCCCGAAACCGGCGTGATTATGAACAATGAGATGAACGACTTCTCAATCCCTAATCAATCGAATGCTTTCGGCTACGCGCCCTCGCCTGCCAATTTCATAGAGCCGGGCAAAAGGCCGCTATCTTCCATCTCCCCGACTATCGTTGAATATCTCGAGAACGGCACGCTTTATTTTGTCATCGGCTCTGCGGGCGGAAGTCGTATCATCACTGCAACAGTACAGAACCTTTGGCATGTCCTTGATCAGAACGAGACGGTCAAGGAAAGTTTGGCGGAACCGAGACTCCACGATCAGGCACGTACCTTGATTTCGCTCCTTCTCGCAACAATCGTGATCATCGCAAGAGTCGTTACTGATATTTGAGACTCTCGTAGCTAATACCAAACACCGTATCATTCGAGTACGCTTATAACAACGAAACCACAGCTTTCATGAAAAGCCTTGGGCACAACGTTACATGGGTGGCTCCTGGTCTGTCGACTGCCCAAGGCTTGCGAAGGTTGCCGAATGGCACGTTCGAAGCCGCGGGAGAGCCAAGGCAGCATAATTCGGGTGGATTTGCTATATGAAATTGATCTAGCCACGCGAGATGGTGCAGGTAGTGGGTATCACGGATTCCATAGATCAAAGAGGAAGAGGAAGCGGAAGGTGCGTAGAGCGCTACTCAACTTAGTATAAAAAGCGCAGTCATGCTAGCTCATGTTATCTAGTAGCTTCAGGCTTTGCACCATATATATAAAAAATAAGGGCAGTACTCTCGAGAACATTCCCACCGTTCCCACCATCTCGGCATATCCTCGTCTATCATAAGATCCGATGGATCCCAGAGCTAAACAAAAAGATGGCCACAGAATACCAACACCTCGTGCAACCCCATACGGTATGCACCTCTTGCTGTCTTAGAAAATCACAACCTGCCTTCCCCCTTCCTTCCTCCCTTCCCTCTCGCCCATCTCCCTCCCCCCTTCCCTTCTCCACCACCTCAAACTCCATCGGCCTCTCCTCCAAGCAAAAAACCCATACCCACCAACCGCCGCGGCCCACGCCTCTCCCCCACCAACTCTCCAACCAACCCTCCAGCATCCGCAACCTTACACCCCCCTCATCCAGACATTCATCCATCCTCCACACCGTACCCTATCCGTACGCAGCCGGAAGACTTTACGCCTCCGCTCCACTTTCCCGCTCGCGAATACTCTAAATCTTACCGCATCCGCACCGCACCGCATCGCAACCGCCACGCCACGCTCTGGAACCCTCATGGGCCCCAGCCAGGGGTTTGTACGTGACGGGAGTCCAGAGCGAGCTGCTCCCGACGCCGCGGTCGGTCGTATACAGTGCTGCAGCTTTTCCCCGCGGCCGAAGCGGCGTGGGTTGCAGATGCGGCTTGAGGGGCTGCCTGTTGCGCGCGAAGCTGATTTGTGGGCGACGTTTGGGCGGCGGGTTGAGGTGGGGTGGGAGTTGGGGATTGGGATTGGGATGGGGATGGGGATGGGGATGGGGATGGGGATGGGGGGGTAGGGGTTTGGTGGCTGGGGTTGAGAAGGAGGGGAGTGGGTGCGATGGGGGGAGGCTTTGGGGTGGATGGGGTTGTGGGTGTGGAGGGTGGGGAGGGAGGTGAGGGAGGTGCAATATGAGGAGTTCTGGGCGATGTGGACGTCGCGGTTGTTTGTCTGAAGAACGGGCGGTGGTCCTTTCGCAGTCGTGGGATCATAAACCTGGTCACTACTATCGTGGACGGCGAGGGAATGTTTGGGTCCGGCTCGACGCATGGTGCTACTCCGGCCTATGTTGTTCGGTGTTGTGAGAAGGCGCTGGTTGGAGTGAAGTATATGTGAGGGGAAGCGGCCGCTGAACAGGCTTGAAAGGTGGTTTGAAAAGATTGGCCTCGTGATCGGTAGGGGTGAAGGAAACTTCGGGAAGGGGGTTATGGAATGGTTGCAGGATCGGCGCAGTTCAAGTGCAGCTCCCCTGAGAGAGAGAGCACGGACTGTGGAATGAACAACGCTTTTGAAGGCTGTGTCCAGAAAGCATATGTTAATGACTATGTATAGCAGGCATGAGAGATGTTGGATGTGCCAACTTTCTCAGATCAAATGTTCTCTTTTCCTCTTTTCCCCAACGATTTCATCCACTGAAGCGACCTACTACGCACTTCGTCCGCTAATTCTGCAGCAGCAGAGCTCATGAAAATTTCCATAAACTGTCACGGCGTGATGCACGTCTGATCTCACCGCGGCCTCCAATATTGTATCATTGATTAGGGACGTTTACGTTGTAGCTTCTATACTATCTCAGTATTCGCCTCAAACCACTCTTCATAGTCCGTCACATCTCCATCCTTCCACTTCGTCGCCGGAATTTAGAAATGAGTAGTGATGGCGCCGAGAATATTGCAAACGAATGGATGCACAAAACGCTGGACAAGCCGATCCCTGTAGGCCCGCTGAGGTAGTTGAAAGGTAGGGCGGAGAGTATGGCGCCTAATTTACCGGTCGCGGCGCTGATGCCATGACCGAAGGCGCGTACGCGCACTGGGAAGACTTCGGCAGGGATGATGAAGGTGGCGGCGGCGTTGGGGCCGAAGATGAAAAACACTGTGTGAGATGTTGGGCGCTGGTAGCTTGGGGAGCGGAGGATTGGGTATCTGACCGATACCGAGACATAAAAACTTCCCGCCTATGCCCAGGTGTTTGTAGTCGCCTGCATTGACAGCGAACATCAACACAACGATCAAGAATCCTTGCATTTTTATCCATCTTCGTCCTAATTTGTCGCTTCAACGAAGAAGATTGTGAAGAGATACCCAGGCACGTAGCCGGCTATGGCGATCATCAAGTTGCCGATAGCATTCCTCTTCAACACGTCGTACTCGTTGGCTCCCTGGGAGACCCCAAACTCCGTAAGAATCACAGATTGATTCAGGTTGACCCTGTAGAACGCCACATCCAGCAGGAACCAGCATGACATGGGCCCCAGCAGAGTCTTCAGATGCCTCCATTCGCTGAAATACACGAAGAAGACGTCGAGTCTAGCTCTCTAGCCTTGAGCCTCAACTTGAGCTCGCGCAGCATCTATTTCCTCCTGAAGTCCACAGCAGAGATGTGCGGCATCCTCCAGAGCCAAAACATTTCCGGAGAAGACACGGAGCGGTTAGGAGGAGGCCTGGTTCAAAGAATGGTACTAGACCGCCACACCTGATCCTCCATTGAAATTTCATGTGCAACAATAGAAGAAATTCAAGTGACAAACTTGGTACTCTGTAAAGTAGCAGGAAGGGAAAGTAGAAGCAACAAAAGGTCTCCAAGGGACACCGAGACCACAGATGCCTACCGGCATGCTTGGACCACACGTTGGAATTCCTAGATAGGCAACGTGGGAGGGTCAAGCTACATACTAGCAATGGTTGTCAGCTGCATGTCCTTCTAGCCAAAAGAGCAGGTGTTTCAACAAAAGGCACCATATTCTCAAATGGCGTGGCAAGTCAAGTTTAAGCATCAAAGGGCAAGCGACGGCATCATCAACGGCACGTGGTAATAGGGTTGTGACGCAGTTCCATTGATCAACGTGGACCTCATTTTTAAGAAGCTTCCCTCGTCCTTTCCGTTCCGGTGCTCTCAAGACAGACACGCGCTTTAGCATCTGCCAGACCGGTCGAAAATTGTGGCAGAACGGCGTCCTGTTAGAATGGACGCCCTACTTAGGCCATAGGGAAAAACCCTGCGGCGGAGATCGAAGATGAACTTTATTGAAAGCCATCAACTACGGAAGTTGAAAGGAGCAGAGAACACGCGGAGTGTGGAGATGAACCTTCCAGGGAGTCACTTCCGCGTGTGGCGGTGCCTCGCCAGCTGCAAGTGACAGCAGTGTGAGCGACGACACCCAGACCTAGCCTCTCACAGGTTCCGAAACAGCAACGGTAGCTCCTGATATGTGTGCACCCCCAACAGTCCGTGTAGTGTCTTGCGGTATTTCATCCCTACTCCTGCGCTCTTTTCCAGGCGTGTTGTCTGTTGTGAGAAGCTGCAGACGGGAGCAATACCTGCGCGCAATCGCAAGGACCACTGCACAAAGGGTTTCGTGCCAGGTATCATAGTGTAGAAAGGTGCGACCGTGACTTGTTCAGATGACTTGCTTCAACGGATGAGGTGCGATATCCGTGTCGGATATTGAATTGTAGCAGGCCGTACGATGCTGAGAAAGGCTGGTGCATGCGACAGAATCAGCTCGGGCCTTCAAGGAAAAGAAGCATGCTCACATTCACAAAGCATTCAGCATAACAACCTTGCGGTTCTGTGGCCAACCTAACACATACTCAGGGTGAAGCTACCTGGAACTTCAACCTCCAAGCTTCGGCAGCCGGCAACGAGATCATCACGAAAATGGCGCAGATAGTAGTCTTGATGCCCATGCTGGAAGGAATGAATGGAAGTGTGTGGCCACTGTCATGGCAATGTGAAGATTGGGTTGTAGAACAGCTCAGGCTGGCTCTGCACCCCGTTGTGCGTTCTCACTGTGTCGTGGCATTTTAGTGCACGTCTTAGCTGCCAGCACCCTAAAGCAGATTGCTGCAAGCGGACACGCATTGCAGGAATGATTCGTAGAGTACTGTGTTGTATACGAGCCTCGACGCAAGTATTCAAGAACAGAGAGAGACGAAGGCCCCCTTACCCCGGAGATGGTGTTTCTCAAAGCCAAGCGTTGTAGGGCTGATCTACACTAGCACCACTAACGTGACACAAGTCTCAGTGAATTTGCCACTGCACTGCCCTGCTTCGATACTCCCTGTCTCTTTACGAGGCCTTTAGTATGAACGTTCAGCCGCTTATACGTAGTCTGGCGTTCGTATCAAACTCTGTGTGCGAGTTGATGCTACCTGGTTTGGCTCAAGCAGGATCAGTGGTGCCTACTCATGGAGTCTTGACAAATGCCGCCTGAGTCCCAACATCATGATATCAACGAGCAGACCTTCATGTATCCCCTGCCGTCGATTACTCGACACTATGACTTGCAAACCCTTCTTCGTCTCAAAGCTTAGGGAGCCAAAGCAGCAATCGTCCTCAGCCACACAGATCTGGACGACCTACCTAGGCTTGGACCCACGGGCGCCCCGACCTCCTGGAGGACGTTTCATGTGTATGGTATGCCGCAGGTAGCGAAACGCCCGAAGGCTGTTCGAGGAAGTATCTATCAAGGATTCCAAACGACAACTGCTCGACATACTGTATGGCTGTGGACCACTCAAGACGCATATTCTCATATCCTATCTACCCTGCCTAATCTAACCAGCGAACCGGAAAACCGCATTCGTGCATCATGAATAAGCATGTGGGCGTCTTTGTCATCTAGGAACAGCCCATCCGCCGTGCAATTCACCAATTCTACTTGTTAGTTACCCACAGAACGTCCAACAGCATGGATTTCCATAGTTCGCGAATGCACCTGTAATTTAGCAATTGTGCAGACTCCGGACCCTGCATATACTGCCACAGTAAATAGCTTTTTCAAGACCTATGCTCTAATTGACAATGAGCCAAGTCTCCCATGAATATATCTTGCGAATCAAATTCAGGCCCAGCTCGGCAGAAACACTGTTGACGTGTACTCACCTTTTCCCAATGGCTTCGATTTTCCCATCATGTCTTTGATGTCCTTTGTGTTAGTCTGATATGAAGTCGAGATCCATTTTGCGGACCGTGATGAAGGCTTCGCAACCTGTAGCAGGAAACCAGCGCCCTGGTTCAGGATGCATTCCGGTGCAAGGATGTTTGCGGCTGTTATGCCTTCGTCATTGCATAATATCATGAGAAATTCAGCGCATCGTTCTTTGTAAGTCGCTAGGTTACCAACGAGCATCATTCAACGTTGCAGTGACGTTGTGAGGCGGAGTAGACATTGGAGTCGGAACAATTCGCGAAACGCATCGGTCTTTCGGAGTGTAGACTGGAGTCCGAAAGGGCGCTTTAGCGGTCATCAATCTAATTGCTCTAGAAAAAAGGAACAGTCGACCATTGCTCACTGATGCTTCTGTTCCGAGCCCTTTTCCTCAACGTCTGAGGATCCTTGGCTCGCTTCGGATAATTGTACTACAGACAAAGCTCCTACCTCGCTCAGGGAAATGAGCTGGGTGCGTGGCGTGGTGTACAAACCAGATACTGTCAGCGTTTGGTAAATCAAGGTAAATTCATGTTTGCTACCATCGAGCCTGGGATGTTTGCGATTAATTAATCAATGTGGCAGTGAATGTTTTGGAGTACGAAAAGGCGGTGCAGAAAAAGAGGGAATGACCTTCTGATAAAGCAGTTGCTTGAAATCCATGTCTTCTAGTCTTGGCGACATGGGGCTCCCACTAGGATACACGTTGCTAAAAAGGACCCCCTTGAGGCGATCGTGCCGAGGTACTCAAGATTAATAGGCAACTCGCTCCGACAGCAATGCTTGAATGATCCTCACAACATTCCAACCTCGATCGATTCGGAATGCTAGCCGCACCCGATGCTTGATGTTTGACGTTTCAAACTTTCAAACGATTAATCGTATGGGAACACGCTAGCTACTGCTGGGCCTCACGATGATCTCCTCAAAATGGACCACCTTGCGAGACTTGGACACTCAACAATATCAATACCTGAGCTAATAGCCGCACCGATTTCCGATGTTTAAAGTTGCAAACGAGCAAGCACTGCTGGGCCTCAAAGTAACTTCCCCAGAACGGAACAGCTTGCGAGCTTTGGAGGTCTTACAACGTCGATCTCTGGAGAGTGCAGACCACAGTCACTAGACAGGGGAGAATAGTGATCTTGATACTGACCTGAATCCAACAGCTTCCCAGTCTCTGCGCATTGTCGTCTCTGCTTTCACACTGTCGGCAATACTTCTACTTCTCTATTCTATTTCATGGTTAGAGGCTATGATGGAGACCCGTTTAGAGGCAGGAACAAGCTTCAAATGATTTGGTGGCGGAATAATAAGGTCGGCTATACAATGTTCTAATCTTGCCTAAAGTGGTAACAACAGACAATCAGAACACAAAAGCCAACGAAAACTTCACGCCAGGACAAGCTGTGAATATTGTGGAGTCATAACCTTAGCAACTTATTTGGAATTTCCAACGTGTGGTATACCATGTCAAACATCGCTGCAGATCCAAGAACGTCTCGCGTTTGCGCCGCAATATCGCTGCGGGGCGGCATCCACGAATGCGAGATGGACGGTTAAAAAAACGCCTGAACATCAAGCCATCCATGGATCTTGCTGAGCCCTTTCACTCCCCGTTTCATCTCCAACCATATGTACAATTCACGGCTTGGCATTGAACCATCACCAGCGTAAGGAAGCACGCGATACTTGATATTTTCTACCACAATATGTCGAGGCCAGGGAGGCTACCACACTGTCTTATTAGACATCATGAGAATCAGACTTCGTGACTCCCAAATTAGCAGTGCAAATGTTTGATGCAGAGTCCACGGCTGCCCATAGCGGCGACGGCAAATGTCTAGAGCAGGAATAAAGCCGGACTTTGATAACGTCTTGGACGTCTCTTAGCGGTCACCTACAGGTTACGTGACCCTGAGCCACTGTACGTACGATGTCCATCGTGCAGCCAGCGATACCTCCACCGCAGCTTCACCTCCCGCATTCGCCCCATACTGTCACTGTCTCTATCATCAATACAACCAGTCATATATCTCAAATACGATCTTCTCTTTTCCTTCGTCCAACCTATTCAGGACACGAGGTCATGGACATTGCGGCCTTTGCATTCCTGATCGAGCACAACGGGCAAAAGCTACTCTTCGACCTAGGTATACGGAAAGACTGGGAGGTCAGTAGTCCACCTACCCTTGCTGACCCGATGAAGCTTGGGGGTTGGAAGGTTGAGGTCGAGAAGAATGTATCCGAAATCTTGCAAGACAACGGAACAAGCTTAAGTAGTATCGACGCTATCATTTGGAGGTACGTCTACAATCGGAGTTTCCAAGCAAGCTACGCTGATAGAGTTGCTAGTCATCACCATATTGCCCACACTGGCGATCCCTCGACATTCCCACCCAAGACCTCGTTGGTCGTTGGCCCAGGCTTCAAGAGGCTATTCACCCCTTCCTATCCTGATGACGAGACCTCTCCCGTCCTCGAGTCTGCTTACGCTGGTCGTGAAGTCCGAGAAGTCTCCTTCAGGGGAGGCTTCAAACTAGGCCGCTTTCCTGCACTGGATTACTTTGGGGACGGCTCTTTCTATCTTCTTGCATCTCCCGGACACGAGTTTGGCCATATGTGCGGGCTGGCCCGTACCACCTCTTCTTTCGCAATGCAGCCCCAGCATCTGGCTGGAAGGGATACGTTCATCTTCATGGGAGGCGACATTGCACATCACGGCGGCGAGTTCCGTCCTAGCGTCTACCGTCCTCTACCTTCACTTCTGCCAGACTTCCCGCTTTTTGCTCCATCGTTTTCGTCGGCAGTCATGCCGCCTTGCCCTGGTGAGCTTCTGGCAACAATCCACTGCGCTCAATCAGCTACAGAGCCTTTCTACACTTCGAATTGCGCCGAGGACCAAGACAAGGCGATCGAAAGCATACGGAGGATGATGGAGTTTGATGCCCGCGATACCGTTTTTGTGGTGCTTGCTCACGACGCTACGCTCCTGAGCGTGATTGATTGCTACCCGGCTACTGCCAATGACTGGTATGCCAAGGAGTGGGCGAAGAAGAGCAGGTGGCTCTTCTTGAATGATTTTGAGGATGACGTCAAGGAGTATGTGAGAAACAAGAAAGCTCGAGAGTATGAGTTCGACGAGAAGTCGTTGTGGATGAATTGAATGATGGATGCATCCACGGACTTGCCATTGAACGATTTGGGATTAGGTGTACAAGGCCCGCTTTTCACTTACAAAATCTCACTCGCTGACATGACGAGGTCACACCAGAAAGTAAAGAATTCAATCCACCCTATGCTCTGCTTTGCATCAATCGCTCGTGACAAAGAAGTCTAACCCTATAATGGGTTGAACAGATGCGTCTTTGATCCAACCACATTTTGCACTATACATTACAAAGAACGGCTGCTGTCCTTAGCAGACCTCGGAGTTTGCAGCGGTACAATGTGTGCCTAGACAGCCTCTCATTCTTATGGCACTGACGAGTCTTCGAAAAGAAATTTGTTGATGCTGATGGGGGCTCAGGGGATAAGAATGCCGTTTCTCACTAGGCCACGTTTGGTTTGGCATATTTTCAATTCAGCGATGAAATAAAATTCTGCCTCCCGCCACCATGATAGATTTAGCATCCGTGGAAAACCCAGACGCGCTTACAATCATGAAAATGATGGTAACTGTCAGAATATCAGGTATGGTAGAATAAGTAGTGTGTTGATTGCATAAATTATTCTATCTCAGAACTCCCCTAGGCCAGTATTTATACCCCTCACAAATTAGGTGATTATTCCAACAGGTGGCTAAAAGGAGGCTGAGAACCTTATTTCGACACTCCCCTATAACCTACCTTCCCTAGCCCAATCAAAAACATGATGCTATATAGAAAAATAATGTTATACTCTCCCTAGTACCTTTCTTACTATCTATTACCTTTCTTACTACCCTTTCTAATGCTACCGATAAGCCTTTCTAATCGTTATCGATAAGTCTATTCTAATTATTATTAATAAGCCTTTCTAGATCGTTATCGATAGGTCTATTCTAAATCATCATCGATAAGCCTTCCTAGTCGTTATAAGTTAATAAATACTTTCTTTTTATCTAGTACCTCTTAATCCTACTGCTATAACTCGTTCTATTTCCGCTTTTAAGATCTTTTCTTAATAATTCATCTTTCTTATAGCTATTTCGAGGCTAATTCCGAGTATAACTTTTAATAGATATTCGCTTTATAATTCTTTTTATAACGAAGATATATTATATCGTTATCGATAGCCTTTTCGCTAGAAGTTCTCTTACTCGAATATCTTATTATTATAATTAATCTTATCTCTATAATATTAATATCTAAAGTCTTTTTATATCTCTCTTTCTCTAGTAATATATTTCTTACTTTATTAATAGTTATTCTCGATATTATAGCTTAAATCTTAATAAAATATTAAAATTATTTTAAAAAAATTATATCGAGATATAGAAGAGTTTACTTATCGTCGTTAAGAATTATATTAATATCGCGAATACGCTTCTCGAGCGTCTTAATTTAAGTAAGCTAGTAGGTTATAAAGTCGAAATCTTTATATTAAAGCGAGTAATACTCCCGGGTTAATCGTATAAATTTAATATTATCTTTCGAGATATAGATATTAATTAAAAAGATTATTATAAGATAATTATTATTAAAAGCGTTAGTCTAAAGTTTTTACTTAATAAGATTACTTATAGTAAAGATAATAAGATCTATAGCCTCTATTACTAAATTACGCTATTTAACTTAAGCCGTAATTAATTTATTAAGATCCGAGATCTCTTATATATAGTTTTAGAGCTTTTTACCTCTAAAAAGAGTTTTAATATTAATAAGTTATTTAGAGTAGTTATTATTCGTAAGCTAACGAATAGGTGACTTAAATGTAGAGGTTTCGGGGTCCATGACTGGCTAGAATAGATATGGAATAGCGGTGGTATCCTAAGCGTCAAGCCCGGGCTTATAACCTATTAGAATATTAGGTATGTGATATATAGCTTGCATAAATTATTCTATCTCAGAGCTCCCCTGGGCCAGTATTTGTACCCCTCACAAATTAGGTGGTTGTTCCAACAGGTGGCTGGGAGGAGGCTGGGAACCTTATTTCGACATGGTTTGCAA